AGAGAGAGAGAGAGAGAGAGAGAGAGAGAGAGAGAGAGAGAGAGAGAGAGAGGCGGGGAGCGAGAGTATCGTTCCCGAAAATTCCACACTAGTACATAAAATGACCTAGTGCTGTCACCGGGTAGCGTTGAGACGCCTTCTTGAGAACATAATAACATATTCATAACTGATGGACGGTATGACAACGCTCCGAATATGCCTTATTTGAAGTTATTTCCTATACTGTAAGGTTGAATGTGAATGTTTTTTCTTGAACTTTTTGCCTCAAAGTCTGGTAGTCACAACGAAACGAGGTCAGAAAAAGAAAAGAAAAGAACAACTTTTATATGTGAATATTTACTTTTGTCCATATTAGTGCTTCGATTATATATCCATATTAGTGCTTCGATTATATATTTTTTCATTTTCATTTCTTCTTCAAAATGTTGATCATTTAAAGTTCAAATTGTTCACAGTCCTGCATTATAAACTGTTTATTCCACCTCCCCCCTCCTCGCCATGCCTACCTTCCTCCCCCAAACATAACGCATATGTGTTGTAAACGAATACAACGCATAGGGTGCGTGCTATTTGAATACAATGCACATGCATTCTATTCGAATAGTCCTAAATTTGGAATACAGCGCATATGCGTTCTCTTCGATTTTGTTTCAAATTTGAAAACTCGAATACAACGCAGATGTGTTATGTTCGGGGGAAGAAGGTAGTCATCTTTTCTTCCCCTTCTTTGCCCTGACTTTGAATCTAGGGGTAATTGCAGAAATAGCGCGTTTTCAAAGTTTAGCAGCAGTCTGAGAAGTGTTGTACGGGTCCGAAAGATCTATTTTTGCAAGGAAAGTGCGACCCGGCCCGCAAATACTTTTGCTGTGAAACTACCGGGACCTCTAAAGCTGCATCGAAAGATATATTTTTGCAACCAAACTTGGGCCCTGCCAATATTTTTGCTGTGAAACTACCGCGACGCGCTATTTCTGAAACTCGCCCTTGAATCCATCCCCTCCCCCCCCTCCCCCTCCCTCCCTCTATCCCCATTATTTCAGTTGCCAGGCCTCTCCATGCTTAGTCATCTTTCTTTCCCCTTCTTTGCATCCGTCTGAACTTGGAACCAGTACGTTAAACCACCAGTACTTTCTAAAGTCACGTAGCATTAACGCTACGCGATTTTAGGAAACGTACGGGCCACTACAGGAGCGCCCAAATTCATCCAACTAGAAACGTTTCTACTCTATTTTTTTCCGCGGCCGATAGCTGGGCCAAGTACTGGTGGTTTAAGAAATCAGCTAAACTCCTCTCGAACTCTCCGAGTCCGATCCTAATGCCCATGGCGAAGCTTTTGATGCCGATGTTTTTCAAAACAGACTCGTATTTGCATTCTCACGGAATCTCGCCCGCATCACTCCAGCTCAGCTTGCACTGGTCCTACTTATTTTTTTATGGTCTTGGGTTGCCATCCACACCTTGGCGCACCGCACATTGCACTACACATAGGCAGCACAAGTATGCCGTCATCGGTATCATTTTAATAATTCCTTATTTATGCTATGTTTGTCCTGACATTATCTGCCTGCAATTTTTGGCGATGCCCAACGCACCCTGATAACGAATGTGTACAAGCTATGTTTCCGGTCCAGTGCAGCCAAAATGAGGGTGGGTTGTGTTCGGGGGGAGACGGTAGTGTGTTGTAACGTAATCCGGCCACAATACCATCCAGATTCAGTCGAGAAAGTCCCAGTGTGGGTAGCAGGCTTTTACCGCTGCACGCCCAAAGCTTCTTGGCAATTGCGATTCCATCTTATCTCCGCTCCTGACCTCGGCAGCTAGAAAGTATGCTGGACCCGGTTTCCAGACGATTGCAAAAGATCAGGACCTGCTGGTATTCCAGGTAGGATCTGGCCTCCGGTATGAAGGATGAAGAGGTGGAGTCCTGTGGGTAGGTCCTTTCGGATCATGGCAAAGGACACTGGACCCGGTTTCCAGCACTAAGGGTCTTCCCATCTCATCTCATTTTCATGCATCCTTAAACATCATGTTCATATATGACTAAACATTTTCATAAGGGATGCTGAGCCCGATTCTCAGCACGTGACGCTTCCCACGAATAGATCGGAGCTTGTTTGTATATAGAAAAAAAAAGAAAAAAAAAAGGAAAAAAAAGGGAAAAAAAAAAAGAAAAGAATGAATCACTATGGGCCTCGCTCCACTACACAACACTCTACCTGCATGTGGATTCTTTCTGGAACCGATACACGCAAAAAGTTGGACTCGTCCCAATGCATCCAGTCGAGGAAGCGTCCAAAAAGACTCCAAATGCATGTAGAATGTTGTGCAGTGGAGAGAGGCCCTATCTTATGTCATTTATGTTTACTGTCGGGGTCCAGTTTGAAGTTTTCTCTCACTTTGACTTTGCTCGCATGGTGATTGTTTTGTAGCCGTGAAGTCGTTGACAGTCATTACGGGATATGGTAAACATAGTGAGGGTGGGAAGGCAAAGATTAGGCCAGCGGTATGTATGCTCTTTCTTCAGGATTGCCTCTGGTCCCCTTCCTTCCCTCTTTCCGCACCCTCTATAACCTCCCCAAACTTTGCCCTGATTTGCCCGTAAATATTCCCCCAATGAGTTCATGTGCACAGAATCCATTTCCGCTTTCCAGTTTACCAGCAAGGGCCATATGACTATTCTCCCAAGACATACAACATTCTTTACGTATGGGGGATGCTGGACCCGATATCCAGCAGGCGCTGCTCCCCACCAATAGATTGGAGCCACAGACCAGACTGCTAGGAGTGTACGCTTTTACCATCACTCCTCGCAAACTTGATGGGTGCTTTCTGTTATGAGAAAAAAAAAAAAAAGTTTACCAGCAAGGCAAATGAGGGCGAAGATAAACCAGTGGTATGTGTGCTCTTTCTTCAGGTTGCTAATGCTCTACTCACCCCTCCTCCCCCCTCCTCTATCCCCTTCCGCCTTTCTTCAGCCACTCTCTCTCCTATCCTCTCCAGCCACTCTCTCTCCTATTCTCTGCTTCAGATGATTCCCCTTATGGGGAATACAAAGACGGTGCTAGCCGATGGGCAGCGAGGCAACAACTCAGCAAAGCGCTGGGCAGCACTGGCAAAGCAGCCAAACTGCACGGCACATAAGCGAATGGAAACGCAAGGCAACAAGGCATGCGGATGGGCAGCAAGGCAATAATGCCGTGAAGCACAAGGCAACACTGGCAAGGCAACCAAACTACATGATAAACAGACAAGCTGCAGGGAAAGACGTGGCAAGCGGGTAGGCAGGAAGGCAGCGGAGGAGTGCAGACAAGGCAGTCCACACATCCCACACTGACCAAAGTCATTCATCACCTACTCACGCCACAAGTCGAACTCCACAGACTGTTGGCTCACATCGCCTGCTGAGTGAGGAAACCACTCTAACCAACATATGTCATCACATATGGAACGGTACCCACAGACGTCCCGAAGGAAATGGCCCCCCTGGTAGTGTTAGTGTTACAGGCTCTCCAAACAACCCACCACAGACTGTTTAGCATCTTCTTAGAGCCGCTGACATAGACACACAGAGAGTACTTGAAAGAAAAAAAACAGGCGTACATTCAATTCAACTGATTGTGTGTGTGTGTGTGTGTGTTCACCATTGGTGACTACAACCACCTCATGGAGTATATCTTGCGTCTAAAGCTTTCATAATATAATATCCGATTTGCTACTCCATAGTGGACGGCGCTGCTTCGAATCTGGAGAAAATAATCCCTAACAAGTCCAATAGACCTAGATCTAAGGATAAAGTACTAAGGCAACCGCTCTTCGGGAACCAATGGGTGACAAATGAGGGTGACAACCCCCTTTTCTTAGAACACACATGGCTCTCCTGGGTCAAAAGCGGCATTTGGAAAATCGCTCACATATGGAATGAGGACAGGAAAGAATGGAAGACAGAACAGGAAATTCGTTCCCAACTGAAAGGATGCCACAGACGAGGACCCAATCTCCAGTACATTGTCAGCCTTATTCCATAGGAATGGAAAGATATCTTGACGGAAGCCGCTCCATGGAAACCTGGAGAATGGGGACTTAAGATTCAAGAAATGCTCCCCTTGAGAGCCTTCCAATTCTCCCACATGCAACGAGACTCACACACCAAGGCCACCTTCCTCTCCTTTCCAATCTCCATGACTGCTACCAGTATGCCGGCCATCCTGAACAGCGATGTTGAGTGGGTAGTCTTGGACTCCTTCCTACTTAGGACGATAAGGGTCCTTGGCTCTTGGCCCAAGTCAATCTTTAGACCTGACACAGCAATCCACAACTTGGAGTTTGACCCAGCTGAATGGGCATGGATGCCGTACAAGACTAAGAACATCAAATCCAAAATCCCAATTCATGAGTATACAGTTAAACTAGGATACAGACTGTCACTGAAAACCAAAGACCCCGACCCTGTCATTAAAAAAAGATGGCACAATCTACTGGGCCAAGAGGCAGACAAGCTCACGCAGATCCAGTGGAAGAAGTTCAAGCTTATCAGGCCAATTAAAATCAGAAGCTTACAATGGCTGATCGCCTACGCGGCATTACCAAGGCGTAAGAGTTCAGATCCCAACAGCTCGGATTTGTGCATGGTCTGTAATGAAGGGACGGTAGAAGACATAGTTCACTGTCTAATACATTGTAGGGAGGCGACAGACTACTGGGCAAGAGCCTCGGCACTCTGGGACTCCCTATTCCCAACCCCCTTCCCCGAACATCCCATCCAACTTCTCCTCTTGACTAACATCCCTCAACGGCTCCAGAAGGCAGGAAAAATCTGGTTTGGACTCATCAGAAAGGTAACATTATGGGTCATATGGAAGGAAAGATGCAGCAGAACGATTGAAGGACTGTCCAACCCACGCGAGAAAGTTTGGGTGGAGACAAAAATGATGATACAAGCCGAAATCCTCTGCAGATGGAGGAAGACCAAACAGTCATGGACGGAGGACGAGGAACAACGAAAGAAGGAGAGATGGACCTTCAGCAAGAACTGGTTGATGAACGGCAAGATTGCAGAGTTACGAGAAGACCATATTTGCTGGAAAGAGTGGCATAACTCAACCCCAGGAAGGACTTGCCAGCAACAGACAACTGTGGGTGGACAAGACATTCCATGATCAGACATCCACGAGGGGTGGATAAGACGGAAGTAAGGGTGTCATAGAGCAGGATAGTAGTCGAGGGTTTAGGGATTAAGGGTTTAAGGGATTTTCAGAGAGGGTAGAGAAATTTCGGGCAGGGGACAGCAGGGTGGCTCTCGGGTAAGGATGGATAAAAGGAAGTACAAGGGACAGACAAGACAAACGGGCAAACTCTTTCTAGGAATATAGAACTATCTGACAGACCTAGCCACCAGGTCTGAGAGGAGAGAGGGTGTCATGGCAAGCTGACAGTCAATCCTCCATCAAGACGGAGTAATCAATGCTGCTCAGAGGTCCTTCGACCAGACGGAAGGAAGTGTGAGTGTATCTTAATTGTTGTGTATAATTACGACTTGCCGGTGGTGTTATGAACTTGGTTGTCTGACGATTTTGATCGCCACTCACACACAGACAATCTCATACACGCCCATACATGCATAAGAGAAGGGGGAGAGGAGACAGAGTCCACACTGCACACAAATCAGAGTAGGCAGCAGAATACAGCTATGCACAGATGGGGAGAGCACACACAGTGTTTCTCGCTCTCTGACAAACTCCCAACAACCAATCACAAGTAGAACCTGCGAGGATAACAATTGAAAAGACACTAATGTTGAGCCAACTCAAACAATTATCGTAACAGAGTTTGTTCCAGTATCTCGCCACTCTCAGAACTCACACCCCACTCTCTATCCTACACCCAGTTAGTAGCACCACATCAGAACAGCCTCCCAGAGGCTAGCGCCAACCACCCTGATGAAGAATAGGTCCTGCGATGAAGTCTTCAGTGCCGATGGACAACTCTAACGAAGGAACAGGCAGCTATGGCTGCCACCACCCACGAGTACACAGTGTAGAGCCTCGATGTAGCCCGGCCAGACGCAGACACCCTCAGGGGTAGATGCGTTGAGGATGCCCCAGCTATGGCAGACTCAGAGAGGGCCGGCTATGGCTGCTGTCAACGGCAAGGTCCCAGGATGCCGCCTGCGGACAGTTATCACCACCAACTTGCTTGGCTTCTCCAACGCTGCTTCGCGAGAAACGAACTGCCAAAAGTCCTGAACCCATGGGCCTAACCTATCTATAGACTCTCTAGACCTAGACCGGACTGACTGACCGAGCGGTACCGTTGATATTTCGGCCTCTCGTCCTCTACCGGACCCGGCTATAGGCTATAGGACCGTCTAGCAGCATAGGCCACTTAGGGCATGTCTGTCCTAGGGGTAGCCCGGGCCTGCTATAGGCAGTTAGGGTAGCTGTAGGAATTCGGGTGAGTGTTGGGCCTGTATTTTCCCAGATTTGCAGATCTGTCCCTTGCAAATTTCCTTACAGGCAGGTCTCTCAGTTAGCCCTCAGCCAAACAAAATTACGAATCTAACCCTACCGGTTAGTGTACAGCCTCGCAGTCAATCTCGGCAGTAGAAATCAGCAAGTCATGGCAGGCTTACCCTCCCCGGGAGCGAGGACCTCCGAGCTAGGGATGCAGGTGAGGTGAACGGCGAGGAAGGTTGCCCTTCTGAGCCGCTTCATATCGCAAGACAATAGACTTTGTTGTCTTGAGCAGGTCTCTTCTGTAAAACCACCTGTTCTCAAAAGGGGGTTGGAATGCATACCTGACAAGATACTGTCGGTCGGGGCCTGTGCCCCACTCATCCTCAATCCGATGGACCAAATTTAGGGGGCCGTTCTGGGAATGCATCAGCTGGAGTGAATGGTAGCAGCTTGGATGCATGGAAGACCGGGTACGTACTTAGATGCAGCGGGACGTCGATAACATACAACGGGCCGAAGGGATCAGCGCCCACTGTATCTAGGACCTGCCATGGACCCAGGTAACGTGGCAACAGCTTGGGGGAGATATCCTCCTCCCTCGACAACTCAGAACTGGCCACCCGGACATGATCACCAGTGCGGATGGGGGAAGGCCGTCTGTGGCGGTTAGCTTGTTCAATCATAGCCTTTTGGGCTTTGAATAAGTTCGCGCGGGATCTTCCCAGATCTAGACGATAACGTCTGGTGAACTCTGATGTGCCTGGTGTCAGATCAGGCTTAGCCTTGTTGATGATATCATCGAGAGGCTGTCGTGGTTCACGTCCACAGTGTAACCGGTAGGGACGGAACCCTGTCGAGGAGTGGACAAACATGTTATACATGAGTTGTGCCCTCACTAAGTGAAGATCCCAGTCCTGTTGATCTGGAGAGATAACAGGACGCAGCAACTGGAATAAGACTTGGTTCATCACTTCAACCAAACCATTGGCTTCAGGATGATGACCAGAAGTCATGTCCAGTCGGGAGTGCAGGTAGTCCTTACAGTAGGACT